GATGCGGACCCGACAGGACCATAAATATCCATGTAAAGGACAATCATTCATGGATAGTCTGTCTTTAAAACACTTCTATACTTGGACAATAAATTTATGTACGTATTAACTATGCTAGGACCAATAGAAGAGGTCATGTTAGCGAAAATTTAAATTTATCAATGCAAAATTGAGGCTACAGGCTGCATGAAGCATCACAATACTGAACCATCACTTGAATTCTATTTGTTATTCTTAATAGGAGTTCAGTGACACCATTTTAATGATTTTTCTATATTATTTGGTGCAAGTCTATATCTTCAATCAATATATTCAAAGAGGAATTACCATTTACAGTGAATATAAATTAAAACTGCAATTTTTTAGAGTAATAATTATGTTTTGTGTGTTACCAACAGCAATCTTTAGTAAATTGGTTGCAAATCAACCTGATGAGACTGTTGACTGATACTTTTATGTAAATGATTTCATCACAGTTGTACCTATAATATCTATGTTTTAACACTATTAAATAAGGATTATATATGATGTAAGTGAAGTTGAATCTATTGTATATAATGTCTTGTCATGTCAGAAGCCACTAGATGTTAATTGTAAGTTCTTTTTAAAATTTATTTGTCTACAATATTAATAGCGGATTTGTATAAGTTATTAAGCCTCATAAATCAATTTTTTAATTTTGATTCTATTGAAAAATATTTTACTGTGACAAAACAAGCAAGTGCTGGTATGAATCAAAATTTTATTTGAATTAATGTTTTGTTGTTCAAATTGAATAGTGTGCTGTCAATGTATTTGAAAAAAAAGGTAGGGGTGCACACACAGAAGTTTAACTTTTCAGACTATACAAACATACTATAAAGTGGTATGTACAAACTTACAAATTTTAGTTATTATTGCAACAGTTTGTACCCAGACAAGACAGTTCCATTGACTGTAGTGCTTATCTGTGCAAATTATGCATATCTAATATGTTATTGTTAAAATTAATTGACTTTTAGTTTGCCTATACATCATACTGTGTTGTGATGGAGTGTTCCGATATGTTGTCCAAGTATAAATTTTATTGTAATGGTTATGCTCTGTCATAACATTGTTTATTAGATAACTTCAAAATTTTTGAGGCAATGGCTTATAACTCTCATGCTTCACAGTTTCAGGTACAATTTGCTATTGAAATGGAATATCATTTTTATATAGGTGGAAGACAATAACTATTAGCATTGCAACCAGAGTTGCTTAGTGCTAAGCAACTCTTTACAATGATTTACAAGCATCGAAAAGGGATCTGCAAAAAAAGTGTGGCATTCCTAGCCCAGGTATGACAAAAATAAGTATACTAGAAGTAACTATAATTTTTACATTTATTACATAGGATAACTACTTTTTAGGCTAGATTCTAAAGCTCAATATAACTATTTCAAAGGGTCTCTTTATCTTTAAAGAGCAGTGATTTCAAGGATATTGAACTATTATTATTTTAATTGTGTAATTAAATGAAATCAGTATCTCAGTATAGTGTTGCATGGAATAGCACTGATAAAAATTAATCATAAAATTTCACTATGTTTATTATTAGACTTACACCAAATTATAGAAAAATCATTAAAATGGTGTCACTGAACTCCTATTAAGAATAACAAATAGAATTCAAGTGATGGTTCAGTATTGTGATGCTTCATGCAGCCTGTAGCCTCAATTTTGCATTGATAAATTTAAATTTTCGCTAACATGACCTCTTCTATTGGTCCTAGCATAGTTAATACGTACATAAATTTATTGTCCAAGTATAGAAGTGTTTTAAAGACAGACTATCCATGAATGATTGTCCTTTACATGGATATTTATGGTCCTGTCGGGTCCGCATCAGTCCGTCCGTCCGTCCGTCCTTTTCGGGCGGGGCGGGTCCGTCCGTCCGTCCGCTTTTGAGACCCTACCGTTTTCTAGAGCTTCGCGTTCGATCGTTTCGCA